CCGTGAGTACCCCCGCTCTCCCCAGCATCGTCGCCGAAGGTCACTGACCCAGAAAAATACCAAGAGTGATATGTGGAGCATGGGCAGGAGGGGACCCAGGGAGGGGGACCAAGCCAATTCTGAGCTTTAGGTAGGAAGTCAGTAACCGAGAATAACCAGTAAAATTCTGAAAACAAAGTATAATGAGGAGTATTAGCGCTGCCAGGTGTTAAGACGTGTTATTAGAGGCCCAATGACACATGCAAATGACTAGAAAGACACATTCGTGGAAAATCGAGAAATGTACCCAAGTACGTTTGGAAATGTAGTATATAATAAATGTAGCACCTTACCTTTCTTATGTAAGAAAGAAAAGACCATTTAATATGTGGTATTAGAATGACCAGGTTGCCCTGGCCGGTTTGGCTCAGCGGATAGAGCGTCGGCCCGCGGACCAGAGAGTCCTGGGTTCGGTTCCCGCTAAGGGCACGCACCTCGGTTGCAGTTTGTCCCCGGCCCCAGTTGGGGTCGTGTGGGTGGCAACCACTCGATGTGTCTCTCTCACATCGTTGTTTCTCTCTCTCTCTTCCTCCCTTTTTTCCTCCTGCTCTATCTGAAGATAAATGCAAAAATGTCCTCGGGTGAGGATAAAAATAAATAAAATAGAAATAGACTGTTCAGGTTGTCATCTGGAAAAGAAGAGAATTAGATCTCTGTCTCTTCATACCAGATTGGTTTCCAATGGATCAAAGATGTAAATGTCAACATAAAACATCAAAAGGACTTGAAGAAGCCCAGGAAGAAATATGTCATAACTTCACGGTGGGAAAGACCTTTCTCCCCTGTTCCACAACCCAGGGGTCATAGGAGAAAAAAATGATAAATTCAGCTACACACAGAACATATCTTCAAGCTGCGTGGTCCTGTCAGCTGACAGAGGATGCTGGGAGGATTATTTGTAATAAGTATCACAGATAATATAGATCATCTTTCTAATATATAAAGAGCTCCTTTTTTAAAAAAAAAAAAATGTTTTCATTGATTTTTTTTTTAGAGAGGAAGGGAGAGAGAGACAGAAACATCCATGTAGGAGAGATTGGCTGCCTCCTGCACGCCTCCTACTGGGGATCGAGCCCGCAACCCGGGCATGTGCCCTGATCAGGAATCTAACCAGGACCTCTCAGTCCAGGGGACGACGCTTCATCCACTGAGCCACACTGGCCAGACAAGAGTTCCTACAGTTCTATAAGAAAGGGATCAATAACCCAACATAAAAACACAGCCAAGGAATGTGAAGAGACACTTCTCAGAAAAGGAAGTCTAAATGGATTTTAAACATAATAAAAGTTGTTCAACATATGGAAAGATGATCACCCTGGCACATATATGAGAAATGCAAATCAAAGCTACACTGCAGACAAAACTGATCAATTGAGCCTCATCGAAATGCAAGATTTTCGCACTTCAAAAGACACACTAAGAAGTGCAAAGATGAGAGCAGGCTGGGAGAAGACATTTCGAAACATACACCTGATAAAGGACGTGTATACAGGATAAACAAAGAACACTTACATCTCAATGATGAGAACATAAACAAGCCAATCAAAAACTTGGCAGAAGGCTTGAGTAGACAATTCACAGCTAACAGACCATTCATAGCTAATAGACACATGAAAAGATGCTCAACATCATTAGTCATTAGGAAAATGGAAATTTGCACCACAAAGAGATAGCGTTCATACCCATGAGGATGGCCGTGATCCAGAAGATTCTTGCGTTCTGGGATAATTGCCCTGTTAGCAGATGTCAGGATGTGCAGACAAGGGAGCCCTGGAGCCTTGCTGGTTGGGATTCGAAATGTTGCAGCTGCTTTGGAAAACCAGATCGTCACTTTCTTCTTTTTTTTTTGTGGTACGTGCCCCTAGTGGGAACCGAACCCGGGACTCTCTGGTCCGCAGGCCAATGCTCAACTGCTGAGCCAAACTGGCCAGGGCTCGTCACTTTCTTAATAGTTAAACATAAATTTACCAAATGGCCCAGCAGTCTCACACTTAGGACTCTCTTTAAAAGAAATGAAAACATGTCCACACACACACAAATTATGTGCATATTCATAGCAGTGTTACTCATAATAGCCAAAAACTTGAAACAACCTAAATGTCCGTCAGCTGGTGAATGGAGAGGTGAACTGTGGTATATCCATGCAATGGAATATTATTCAGCCATAATAAAGGAACAGACAGCTGATACACGCTACAACCTGGGTGAACCCCCAAAACATGAAGCTAAGCAAAGGAAGCCAGACACTAAAGGCTGCGTATTCTATGATTCCATTTATATGAAATGTCCAGAAGTAGTAAATATATAGAGGTGGAAAGTACATGAGTGTCTGCCTGGGAAGGAGCAGGGGGAGCGAAAAGGATTAACAACGAATGGACACGAGGGGGTCTTACTGGGATCGTGGAAATGCTCTACAATTGTTTCATGGTGGTCGTTCACAACTTGGTAAATTTGCTACAAAATGAATTATATACTTGGAATGCGTGAATGTGTATGATCTGTAAAATATGCCTCAATAAAATTAAATATATTAAAAATAAATAAATAAAGCCGGCGACAGGCCAGATTTGGCCTTCAGGCCCCATAATTCACATGCACACACACACAAAAGGCCACCTTACTAGGCAGTAAAGTGCACTTCCATTTGGGAAGTTTTGCTATAATTGAAGAGAATGAGCAAAATGGAGTCAGTATTGACGGCTCAAAGAAAACCCTAGGACAACCCCCAGGGGACTTAACCTGACAATAAGTGGACATGCACTGGACCCAGACTGTGTCCTCTGCAGAATCAGGACTTGATTCTGCAGAAGAGCTCACACACCTGCAAAGTGATCCTTGCACCTGTCCACGCAGCATGTTGGCAACGGCAGATCGGAAACAACCCACTCTGCAGTGGTAGGAACAACGTCAAATGAATGATGAGTCCACGTGTTTCAAAATGGGCGGGAACCTTCTCTTGCACCGCTAAGGAAAACAGCCAAGGTCTAGGAGGAGAAAAATGCAGAGAAGGGACAGTGTGTGCAGTATGCTGACGTGTGTGCAAAACTGCCAACGTGTGCTGTGACACGTATCTGTGTGTGTGCACACGTGTGCACGTGGGAGGATTTTGCTGTAGCCGAAGAGTATGAGCCAAATAAATTCAGTGTGGGTGTAACACATGGACCACCACAGTCGTGTATCGTTTTCACAGACGTGATTGGCAGACGATGCTGGTGTGCTCCTGTATATGGGTGTGTGCACACACGCGTACCTGCATATATCTGGATATGATGGCTCTGGAAGCCGACCAAGGTGTCTGAGTTAGCTTTTGAAAGTGGATCTCATTGGCTGGCTCACAGCATGGGTGGAAAGTTTCGCTTACACTCTTCCATCATTTTTTAATTGTGAACCATGTAAATGTATTATCTGTTCAAAAAATAAGTTAATATAAACAACATAACGGATAAAGCTTTAAAAGATACGCTGGATCCCTGGCCGGTTTGGCTCAGTGGTTGAAGCGTCGGCCCACGGACAAGAGTCGTGGGTTCGATTCCAGTCAAGGGCACGTACCTCGGTTCCGGTTCGGTCCCCAGCCCTGATTGGGGTCGTGTGGGAGGCAACCAGTCAATGTGTCTCTCTCACGTCGATGTTTCTCTCTCTCTCTCTCCCTCTCTCACTTTATCTGAAAATAAATGGAAAAATATCCTCTGGTGAGGATTTAAAAAAGGATACGCTGAATTGTATGTTCCACAAGTAAAGATTTCATCCTTGTTGCAACAGCTCACATTCAAATATACATTTTAAAGTCTTTACATTTCTGAACGTTCCCAACTTCCGAGGGCCAGCAGGCGCCGCGCCCCCTGGCGCTGAGAGCAGAGCAGCCCCGGCGCCGCGGTCGGCTCTCCGAGCTGAGGGGCACCTGATCCCCAAGGCAAACATCGCTATTTTGACAAGAGGCTTTTAGTCCTGTCCAGAGATGCCTTTTTATTACCAAAAAATACGCACCACACATACGTCACCTGTCACCTTCCCGGTGCCTTTCCCAGCCTCGCCCACCAGTGTCCCAGAGCCCGGCTGGGGCCTCTGGACAGTGTCCAGCTGGACCCAGGACTGAAGTTTTGTTTGGGTTTTTCTTTAGTCCAGATGGTACCCGCTTAGCCTGATTTGTTCGTGACAAAGCGCTTTTCATACTCTGGAAGGTGTGAACTAGGCTCGCAGGAGCCACGTGGGAATAGACATCACACTAAAGAATCAAGTCAGGCGTTTAGGCAAATACCAACGACACACAGCCACGTGTGTCTGGGAGGAAGGGTTAGACTGCGTGGAGCTCAGGAACCCGGGTCTCAGGCCGGTACGCAGCCCGCTGCCCAGCGAGGGAGAGCCCGTCATGCATCCTCTGCCCTGAACCGAATCGCGTGGCTCTTCACAGACCTGCACGGATTCTCCGGTGAGGCTGATCCTGTGTGAACCGGGGCTCCTGAGCAGACAGTTTAAACTTGGGAGGAATCAACAGGTTTTGGTGAATGTATGAAGTGAATGTTAAACCACACTGAAAGAATCCAGCTGAAGAGATACGTGATCTTTCGTGGGAATGTGAGGTTGTTAGGACGGCAGCGCCACTATCAGAGTCAGGGCAGGAGACAGTGTCCCCACTTGGATTTGGGGACAAGGCGTGGCACTAAGGCCGTGGCTGAGGGCTGGAGGGACCTCGATGCCCTCACATCCATGGAGCCCCTGGGAGTGGAGCAGCTCAGAAACGCTGGCCTCTCCCTCCGTCGGCCCGGAGACCGGACGGCTGCGTCCCCTGGCGGATCCGCCCACCGGCACGGGCAGGCAGGAGCCCGGGACCCAGGAGGGGTCAGCCCGGGGCCCAGAGCAGAACAGAGAACAAGGCTGACCACACATATCCCTCCCAGGTGGGAGAACAGGTCTCGCCTGGATAGGGTCCATTAACGTGCCATCACTGTTTCCTCTTTCACCAGATTATTGATGACATTATTGCCAGCCAAGAAGAAGAGGAAAAAAACAAAAAGAAGAAAAAGAAAAAAAAGGAAAAAAAGGAGAAAAAAGCCAAAAAATTAAAGGAGAAGAAAGAACCAAAAGACAAAGTTAAGGTAAGGAATTTGGAACTTTAAAAATGTGGAGTGTTGTTTTTTTTGTTGTTGTTGTTTTGTTTTGAATCGGTGGGATAATCTCCCATCTGTTGAGGTGTCAGTCATTCGTTTCCTAGGAAACCAGGCTGTCTGCCAACAGTTTTCCAGTTTTTTTATGTTGATCGACAGTTGCCACCTTTTCTCTGACCTATGAAACCTGCCATGATAAGAAGTGGTTTCAACCACGCGATAGGTCCCGTGTGAAGCCGTATGAGGTGGCTTTGGATTTTCATTCCTGAAATGAGCGGTTCCACGCGTCTGTCCTCAGGGTAGAGGCAGGGAAACTGCTCGGCGAACCACTGACCACCGCACGGATCATGTGACGTCGGCCACAGCGAGTCCGTGCGGATTCTTCACTCAGTGCTGGCGCCTCGGGCTGTTCTCAGGGAGTGTGGGTTCTCATGCCCAGAGCAAGTCAGAGTTCAAACAGCGTCACTCGGCCCGGCGCTGTCTCGTGCGATGGGGTTGGGGTGGCCGTGGTTTGGGGGTGGTTGCGCGGTGCCGGTGGCCATGGGGTTGGGGTGTCCGTAGGGTTGGGGTGTCCGTAGGGTTGGGGTGGCCGTGGGGTTGGGGTGGCCTTGGAGTTGGGGTGGCCGTGGGGTTGGGGGTGGCCGTGGGGTTGGGGTGGTCGTTGAGTGCCGGTAGCCGTGGGGTTGAGGTGGCCGTGGGGTTGGGGTGGCCGTGGGGTTGGGGTGGCCGTGGGGTTGGGGTGGCCGTGGGGTTGGGGTGGCCGTGGGGTGCCGGTGGCTGTGTGGTTGGGGTGGCCGTGGGGTTGGGGTGGCCATGAGGTTGGGGTGGCCGTGGGGTTGGGGGTGGCCGTGGGGTTGGGGTGGCCATGAGGTTGGGGTGGCCGTGGGGTTGGGGGTGGCCGTGGGGTTGGGGGTGGCCGTGGGGTTGGGGTGGCCTTGGAGTTGGGGTGGCCGTGGGGTTGGGGGTGGCCGTGGGGTTGGGGTGGTCGTTGAGTGCCGGTAGCCGTGGGGTTGAGGTGGCCGTGGGGTTGGGGTGGCCGTGGGGTTGAGGTGGCCGTGGGGTTGGGGTGGCCGTGGGGTTGGGGTGGCCGTGGGGTGCCGGTGGCCGTGGGGTTGGGGTGGCCATGGGGTGCAGGTGGCCGTGGGGTGCCGGTGGCCGTGGGGTGAGCTCGGCAGGGGCTGCTCTGTGGCCCCTTCACCGCGAGGTGGGCAGGGACACTCCCCGGGCTCCTCACGGCGCCAGCACCACCCACGGGGTGGAGCCCGGGCTGGAAGCTCGCGTCCTCCCAGAACGCGGAGAGAGGAGCCTTTTCGCACAGATGCTGCCTCACAGCTGCCCAACCCCACCCGGGTCAGCTCGGGAGACCGGGTCCCTCAAGGTCAGGTCCCTCTGTGCCTCTGTCAGAGGCAGGGACCCGGCTCCGGCCCAGGAGGCAGGTTCTGACTGACGCTCAGACTCCAGGGTTTCTCTGGGGGCAGCTGCCTGGCGGGGCTGGTCCACGGCTCCTGGGCACTCTGGTGCCACGTTACAGGAGAGTGGCCGGACGGTACGATCCCAGAGGACACGTGATGGGAACGAGGAGGGGAAAGCTGTGTGCAAGGGGGATGGGTGGGGACGAACATAAGATGGCAATATCCCACGTCCACGCCCACGCCCACGCCCACATCCACGTCCACCCGAGGTGCGGGCTGTGGTGATAAAAGCCCACATCTTGTTAAGAATTCCTTGGCACGACCAGCTCGCCCAGCTACAGGCAGTGGTCCCGTGTCCTGTGCTGTGACAGAGGTCTTTCGCCTGTCCCCTTGCCCCTCCCCCTTACCCTGCTCCATTCCTGTTCACCACAGTAGCCAAACGAGAGAGGCCCTCACTGCTCACTGGGCACTCCCACTCTGCTGCAGGGCGCCCCCTTCAGGACCAGGCACTCAGTCCTCAACCACCAGGGACTAAGGGAGCGGAGCCAGGTCCCACACACCGCCAGGGCAGCCGCGTCCAGGGAGGGTCACGTCAGGGTACAAAGACCCAGCCCTGGGACAACGCCGCGGGGTTCTCCCAGCTCCTGGCTCCCCGTGGGATCAGCTGATGGCTCCCTGGCAGTACATGATGGTCAGCTGCTCCTCTGTCCAGAGCTGCTCCCCCTCCTCCTGCCAGTGCTGTTCCCCGTAAACCCTCTGAGCGGGGAGCCCAGCTCCTGACACCACCTGTTGCCCTGCTAATCTGCCTGAACCCCAAACGTTGTAAATTGTTTCCTTACCTCCCCCCAAAAAAGACAGCCCACTCCATAAACTAATTTTTATAATTCTCCTCTCACTTGGTAGAACGTCTGTGAGCAGTGCCCAGGGTAAGGACCACTGGAAGCATGTCACTGTCATTCCAAGTCATTCTGTCACTGTGCTCGAGGACCATGCACGCTTGCGAGTGAAAAATTCCTGGTTAGGGAAGCTTGTCCCATAAAAACCCCAAAGTGTCAGCTACGCAGTCTGGTCTGCGTTGACGGAAGGCGTTTGACTGACTAGCTGTCAAAGAGGCATTAAGGATGAGCCGTGGGGGATGGGAAGTGAAGTCCGAGTCCATCTGCATTTATGACGTAGTTGCAGAATCACTTAGAGATGAACGTATTCCTGAAAAAGAGAGGTCTCCAAAGTGACAATGTGATTATTAGAAGAACGAATGGTCACTGCTAATAGAAAGTGGTGTATTTGAATTATGGGGGTACCCTTCCTAGAGATCAGATGGTGTTTTCCACTGGCCTTTCAAAGTATTCTAGAACCAACCGGGAAGTGTCTGGAGGCATCTCAGACCAGCTGGTCAAATCCGTGTGTGAGAATTGGTATTTTGACCTGTAGGGAAAGGACCTCTGTGATTCATCCCGGTTCACGGAAGGCCGGAGAGGAAGCAGTCTGGTTGGCGGGCGTGGACCCTGACCGGCCGCCCGCCTCCCAGGGCCGGGCTGTGATCGGCCTTCAGATACTTTGTGACATTTAGTTGTTACCAGTTGCCAGCCCCACATGCACGGCCTGAAAACTCGGGACAGACCTCCTATTTTTTTCAATGATAGGATTATCTGAATATTCCCACTCACCTCTATAAATGGGAAGTACTCTTCCAAATATCACACAGGTGTAAGTCGAAAGCTTGGTAAATCCCCGACATGTTACCGATGAGCGGAGCATACCAGGGAGCAGCTGCTGAGAGACCCGAGGCCAGTGGGTCCGGAGGCAGGGTGAGGGGGTCCAGGCGGGGTCCCGGCAGTCTGCCACCGAAGGACCGGAGGACACCCTCAGAGAGGGACGGGGTGCTGGAGCAGGCGATGGGTGGGGCGGGGGCGGGCGGGGGCGCGCGGAGCCTTGTGCCCCCAGGAGAGCGAGTGAGCTGGGCAGAGAGGTGAGCAGGTGGGGGTCCGGTGTGTTGCAGGCTAAGACCTGGCCCTGCAGCCGGGCTGTGGGGACTGTGGTGAGAAGCGGCCGAGGCAGGGAGGTCGGTTAGGTCCAGGGGCGGGCAGCGAGACCAGGCGGGGTCAGGGCAGGGCGTGGCCAACCCAAGGACAAGTGTGGGCCCCGTCGGAGGAGTTCGCTGGTGCGGGCATACAGTTACAGTCAGACATCACTCACTGGGCTGAGAGAGAACCAGTGGGCTGTCTCCCTTGTTGACTTTTCCTACGGGGCGAGGGGGTCCCTCTGCTGGAGAGAGCTGGGCTCCTGGTCGAAGGTGCGCTCAGTAACCCGCCTGCCCCCGCCCAGCTCACAGAGCCATGGCCACCGTCACGCTGTCACCGCCGCTTCCCCTCCCCCTCCGTGCCTTCCTCCGTGATACCTCCACCTGCGTGACGGTATCCGAGCCCCCCGGCCCCGGCCTCAGAGTGGGGGAGAGCTCCCCGCGGCCCCGTGTTAGTCAGGAGTCTGAGGACTGAGGAGGGCCCCGGGATGGGCTGAGATGTTTGACCCTGGAGACCACAGGAAGAAGTTTGGGGTGTGAGCGTGTGGCTCTCGGGGGCCCTGCTTGGACTTTAATCACGGGCCAGTGGGAGAGGAAAGCAGGGCCACATGGTGGAGTCCGGAATTGGGCGCAAGAACATTTTGGGGTAAAATTACTGTGACTAGGACCTCGCGTTCCTTTGATCAGGGCACTTGGCAAACAGTCTCACATATAAGTCATGAGAGTGTCTAACCGTGTCCGACTCATCTGGGGCCGCTCTGCGCAGGGTGCTGAGGGACACAAGGAAGCCCCGGCAGGGAGGGGAGCCCTGTTTGGGGCGAGGGAGGGGACCACTTGAGACCACCAACACCACCTTCACGGGTGGGCTTCCAAACATCAGCGTCTCCTCCGCGGGCAAGAAAGTGCAGTTCTGTGCAGACTTGGCGCCTTCTCGTGGAGTTCAGCGCGAAACCCTGACGCCTGTAGAGGAAACCGGGGCTCGTCGGGGTCCGGGCGAGGCCGAGTTCTTGGACCTGCCGCCAGAGCCCGGGCCACACAAGGACAGACGGTGAACGGGGCTCCGTCGAAGTGAGACGCCTGTGAGGAGCCTGGCGGGACAAGCTGTTGTCGGGGAAGGACCTGCCAACTCTCTCTGACAAAGGACGTGAGCCGAGGGCACCGCGAACCCGCCACACTCAACAGTAAGAAAACAGAGCCTGTCTCTTGGGTCTCGGATTAAAACCCATCCCCAGAGGTGTCAGGGATCGCGGGTAAGGAGACCCTCCGTCAAGAGTCCGTTACCCGGGAGGATGCTCTTCCTGCCGTCATTTTTATATATATATATATATATATATATATTTTTTTTTTTCCTTTATTGATTTTAGAGAGAGAGGAAGGGAGAGGGGGAGAGAGAGAGAAACATCGATGAGAGAGAACATTGACTGGCCGCTCCCTGCATGCCCCCCACTGGGGATCAGGCCCACAACCTGGGCATGCGCCCTGACCGGGAATTGAACTGGCGACCTCTTGGTGCAGGGTCGACGCCCAACAACTGAGCCACAGCGGCCGGGCTCCCTTTCTTATTTTCTAAGCCGTAAATCAAACCACTGGAACTGCTTTCGGAGGCTTTGACCTGCCCGTCATACGTGATGGGTGACTGTCGAAGCCTCTCCCGCCTTGAAACGACTTGCCTTCGTGCCGAGTTCTCCCGGCCAGGTCCCTGTGCTACAGGCAGCACGCACAGCCTGAAAGCTGCGGTGTGTCCGCGTGCCACCCTGGGACACCGTGCCCCGGCCCTCTCTCGGCCCACGCGCCTCCTCTCCAGCCCCTCAGCCCACAGAGGTGCCTTCACGCTGAACGGCCGAGCCCGCCACAACCCTACGTTACTTTAGGGTGTTTCACGCCAGTTTCTGCACTGCTTCCCAGAGGTGGACAGTGAGCGTCCTGTGTTTCCCAGGCCTAACGGGGTCACTGTGGGAATGTTCGTGCAGAGACGGAGCCCGTGAGGGGCCCTCCACCCAGAGAACAGGAGCCCCGTGGAGAGACGCCCTCAAACTACAGAAACGGCTACGGAAGGGGCGCCCCTCCAGGAAGAACGTGTTTTCTCCATGTTTCCGAAGGACCCTGCCCCCTGAGAAGCTCCAGGGCCGCTGCTCACAGCAGGACACGCCCACCTGGGGGGGGGGGACTGGATGAAGGTGGTGGTGAGGCTGCTGATTTCTCTCCTTTGGTGTTTGTGTCTTCCACGGACGGCGTTGCTGTCATGCTGTTCTCGGTGCACGCGGTGCTTTTGCAAAACATGCCGCGTGCCTCTGCCCCCGGGCAGCAAGAAAGCCAGTGCTGGGCCTGGAGGAGGGGCTGAGGAGGAGCCCCCAGCTTTCGGGCATCCTGGCCGGCGTCTGCACAGAGCGGGTCCCGGTGATGCTGACAACCCTCCGAGTGACCAGAGGGGCTGGAACGTAACTAGGCTTCGTCCCACTCACCGGGCTTACTGGGTGGCAATATGGGCTCACTTAGGTCAGCTCAGCTAAGATGGGGTGGGGTGCATGGAGGGCTCATGGCCAAGAAGCATGGCAGGTGTGGGCTGGGGCGGGGCGGGGAGTTCTCAGGACTCGCCCGCCAGGACTGCTCCCCTGTTCATCTCCTTCTCGAAGAAGTCCCTGTGGAAGCTGGGATCCGTGTGTCCTGTCCCCGAGCAGAGAGAGCTGGTGCGCCTGGGAGCTGAGTGCCTGGGAGCTGGGTGCCTGGGAGCTGGGTGCCTGGGAGCTGGGTGCCTGGGAGCTGGGTGCGCCTGGGAGCTGGGTGCACCTGGGAGCTGAGTGTGCCTGGGAGCTGGGTGCGCCTGGGAGCTGGGTGCCTGGTCAATCCAGCCCCTCGGGTCTGGCTGCTCCCACACAGGAGCCTCCCTCTGCTTGAGCGCTCTCCAGCCACTTGGGGCAGTGAGGGTAGTGTTCTGGAAGTTTCCGCAGAAAGGGGTGAGGTCAAGGAACGCACCGTGCCAGAATGCAGCGGACTTGTAAGACCCCATCACAACAGAGATTTTTAACAAGTAGGTGACTGCGGGTCAGATGGTGGATTGAAACCTCCCTGTGGAATTTTCCTCTCCCAGTGTTTGTCCAAAGGTGCAAAATAGTAAATGTTTAAAACAGCAAAGAGCAGGAGACACCCAGTACACCTCAGGCTACTGATGGAAGCAAGCAACACCTTCCAGAGGGAAAGCAGAAACTTCACTGAGCCGTCGCTCCCGTTCACCGGCGTCCCGCGACGGCCCACCGCACCCTGCGCAGTGTGCGAGCCCCGCGCTCCTGGCATTCCGTGCGGTCAGGCTCGGACGCACCCCCAATCGGCCTCACGTGTTCTGTTCCCCTCGAGAACGTCGTCTTTATTGTAGAAATAAAGTTGAACAAATAGACCTATAAATCTCATTTTTACTTACATGCCTTAAACACCTACTTAGGAACCAGCCACAGTGCTGGTTCAGGCGAGGGTGTAAAAGATCAGCAAGATGGAGCCCCGCTCCGTGGGGTCCCCCAGCCTACAGAGCACGTTAGACATTCGTATTCGTACCAACAATCTGCAGAGAAACAGGAGCCAGGACACCCAAGTGAGTCCTGCTGAGCAAGGGGAAAGGGTACCCATGGGAATCCAGGAGGGCTTCCCGGAGGAGGGGAATTTGCCTCAAACCTAACAGCAATGCTTTCTGCAGAGGAAGATGAGGAAAGGAAGTCTGGGCACAGAGGAGGTGGGCACCCCGCCTCCCCTCTGGCCTCTCCCCACAAGCAGGTCTATTCATGCCCAGCTTCTTTTTGTTTTTAATCCTTGTCCAAGGATAAGCTGATTGATTCTAGAGAGAGAGGAAGGGACAGAAGGAAGAGAGATTGACGTGAGATACCTCCGTCCGTTGCCTCTAGTATACGCCCTGGGGATCAAATCCACAACCGAGGGGTGTGCCCTGACCAGGAATCGAACCCACAACCTTTTGGTGCACAGGATGACTCTCCCACCAACCCCCTCCCCCCCCCCCCCGCCCCGGCCAGGGCCACGCCCAGCTCTTGCTCAGAGCCCAGAGGTAGCCGCCCTGCCCTCAACCCTGTCCGCGCTCTGAAGAGGCCCGTCTCCTCTCTCCCCACTTTACTCCCCTCGCCCTTCGTGGGGTGACAACAACCGTGACAGTGGGTGTCACACCCCTGACGCTTGATATGGCAGAACCCTCAGACCAGGGTCGCGAGGCCTGGCGGACACAGTGGGGAGCAGCTGGGCCCTGGTGGCACGGGGGCGAGGGGAACGTCTGCTGCACGTGGGGTTCAGCCTCACCTGCGGGGCGGGGTCCCTGCAGGCTCTGACCCAGCCGCGTGGGAGCAGCAGGGACCGGGGTGGCGTGGTCGGGCTGTCCACAGTGGGCCTGGGGCAGGGCAGCCGCAGGACCTGGGCCCCAGCTCCCGGCGGGCTCAGTGGGTTCTTGGCTGGGGGAGCGGACAGGTGAGCAAGGGGAGGAGCAGCCAAGTGCTCACACAGGGCACAGGTGGCTCGTGGCCGCGCGGAGCACCGACGGCAGCCACTGAAAGCAGGTCACGGAAGGTGGTGAGGGAGGGCACAGGCCCAGATTTGGAGCACAGGGACCTCCGGGGAGGTGACTGAGATGGGGAGCCAGGCTCAGGGCACCTCATGAGCCGGCAGGCGGAGCGACATCCCCAGAACCATCGTGCCCAGCGTCAGACTGGCTGCAGGGCCGGCACCTGCGCTCCATGAAGCAGGATGGAGCCTGCGTGCGTGACCACGGTGACAGTCGTCACGACGGGTGTGCCACTCACTGTCCAGTCTCGGCAGACACACTGCCTGTGACTCACAAAAGATTCCTCTGCTTTGGTAGGAAGACGACGAGGCCTGGAGAATGTCCCCCAGCGTCTTCCTGCCCGCGATGGAGGAAGGGAATAACATCTACAAAGGTCAGTGCCGGGCGCCTCCACGTCACTGTGTCCGCCCAGGGCCCTGGCCCCGCCCCCGCCCCTGCTGGGAAACTCAGGCCGGGTCAGGACGGCAGCTCGGAGCCAGGGCCTGCTGCCCGTCTCCTGTGGGCGCCTTCCAGGCCTCTCGGGGTAAGAACACAGAGAGGACGAGAACGGACCTAAACCTCCGTTCTGCTTAAACCCTGACACTCCACACACCCCCGCTGGTGCTGCAGGGAAGACGTGTCCGGGTTTAAGGAAACTGTACCGCCCTCCAGCCAACCGCTTGACCCGATGAGACAGCCCTGCGTCCAAACGCCGACATGGCTTGGTCCCTCAGTTGGCATGATTATCAGCCCGGCGACAGCCACCAGTGTGGGTGCGGGCCACGGTGACCGGGCTCGTCCATGCCGGCTGGGACGCCTGAGTACCTCCCAGCTCGGTCGCCTGGGTGCTGCCCTGGCTCTAGCCCTGCTGGACAGCACCATGCTCTCACTGATAGACGTGTGTTTCTCGATCGACTCACGGTGTCACCCCTTGAATCGGAGCCTCATCCTCAGCCACAATCTCGGCTCCCTACAGGTTTGATATGCCGGCTATACAAAGTGAGAATGTCCGTGGGCCCCGCAAATGTCTCCACGTCCCGTGGGTGGCGAGGGCCTCGCTCCGTGTGAGATGCTGAGCCGCAGAGAAGCCGAGGGGAGGATGAGGCCGGCAGGGTTGGCAGCCGCTTTCCCGGGGAGGAGGGAGGTGGTGGGGTCACCTGGTGCCCACGACATACGAAGCTGCGTTTTGCCAGTCTCGGTCCTTCCCAACCACCGGGACAGGTGAGCATCGCCCTGGCGGCAGGTCCCGATGGCAGACCTGCCGCCCTTCCCGTTGAGGGCGTATCAGCTCCTCAGCCAGCAGCCGAGCCCGCAGTCGCCGTCACAACATCCGTGGGTTTGCGCCTTCATTCAGGGGCCACTGACCGTCTCCCGGGGCCAGGGGCCCTGCTGGCCTGGGGCACAGAGATGGCACGTGCCAGCAACACGCCCACTGGGCGGCAGTGAATGGGGCGGGGCAGTGGACGGGGCAGGACAGTGGTCAGGGCAGGACAGTGGACGGGGCGGGGCGTGGACAGGGCGGGGCAGTGGACAGGGCAGGACAGTGGTCAGGGCAGGACAGTGGACGGGGCGGGGCGTGGACAGGGCGGGGCAGTGGACAGGGCAGGACAGTGGACCAGCAGGGTGTGGACATGCTGGGGCAGTGGACAGGGCGGGGCAGTGGATGGGGCAGGGCAGTGGATGGGGCAGGGCAGTGGTCAGGGCGGGGCAGTGGATGGGACGGGGCAGTGGTCAGGGCGGGGCAGTGGATGGGGCAGGGCAGTGGATGGGGCGGGGCAGTGGATGGGGCGGGGCAGTGGACGGGGCGGGACAGTGGACGGGGCGGGGCAGTGGACGGGGCGGGGCAGTGGACGGGGCAGGGCAGTGGATGGGGCGGGGCAGTGGACGGGGCGGGGCAGTGGTCGGGGCGGGGCAGTGGACGGGGCGGGGCAGTGGACGGGGCGGGGCAGTGGATGGGGCGGGGCAGTGGTCAGGGCAGGACAGTGGATGGGGTGGGGCAGTGGTCAGGGCGGGACAGTGGATGGGGTGGGGCAGTGGACAGGGCGGGGCAGTGGACGGGGCGGGGCAGTGGTCAGGGCAGGACAGTGGATGGGGTGGGGCAGTGGTCAGGGCAGGACAGTGGATGGGGCGGGGCAGTGGTCAGGGCGGGGCAGTGGATGGGGCGGGGCAGTGGATGGGGGGCGGGGCAGTGGTCAGGGCGGGGCAGTGGATGGGGCGGGGCAGTGGATGGGGCGGGGCAGTGGACAGGGCGGGACAGTGGATGGGGTGGGGCAGTGGATGGGGTGGGGCAGTGGACAGGGCGGGGCAGTGGATGGGGCGGGGCAGTGGATGGGGTGGGGCAGTGGATGGGGCGGGGCAGTGGATGGGGTGGGGCAGTGGTCAGGGCGGGACAGTGGATGGGGCGGGGCAGTGGACGGGGCAGGACAGTGGATGGGGCGGGGCAGTGGATGGGGCAGGACAGTGGATGGGGTGGGGCAGTGGATGGGGCGGGGCAGTGGATGGGGTGGGGCAGTGGTCAGGGCGGGACAGTGGATGGGGCGGGGCAGTGGACGGGGCAGGACAGTGGATGGGGCGGGGCAGTGGACAGGGCGGGACAGTGGATGGGGCGGGGCAGTGGTCAGGGCGGGGCAGTGGATGGGGTGGGGCAGTCGATAGGGCGGGGCAGTGGTCAGGGCGGGACAGTGGATGGGGTGGGGCAGTGGTCGGGGCGGGGCAGTGGATGGGGCGGGGCAGTGGTCAGGGCGGGACAGTGGATGGGGCGGGGCAGTGGACAGGGCGGGGCAGTGGATGGGGTGGGGCAGTGGTCAGGGCAGGACAGTGGATGGGGTGGGGCAGTGGACAGGGTGGGGCAGTGGATGGGGCGGGGCAGTGGATGGGGCAGGACAGTGGATGGGGTGGGGCAGTGGACAGGGCGGGGCAGTGGATGGGGTGGGGCAGTGGATGGGGCGGGGCAGTGGATGGGGTGGGGCAGTGGTCAGGGCGGGACAGTGGATGGGGCGGGGCAGTGGACGGGGCAGGACAGTGGATGGGGCGGGGCAGTGGACAGGGCGGGACAGTGGATGGGGCGGAGCAGTGGTCAGGGCGGGGCAGTGGATGGGGTGGGGCAGTGGCCAGGGCGGGGCAGTCGATAGGGCGGGGCAGTGGACAGGGTGGGGCAGTGGACAGGGCAGGCAGTGGACAGGGCGGGGCAGTGGACAGGGCGGGGCAGTGGATGGGCGGGGCAGTGAATGGGCGGGGCAGTGAATGGGCGGGGCAGTGGACAGGGCAGGCAGTGGACGGGGCGGGGCAGTGGACAGGGCAGGGCAGTGGACAGGGCGGGGCAGTGGATGGGCGGGGCAGTGGACAGGGCAGGCAGTGGATGGGCAGGGCAGTGGCATATCTTGGTGGCTTCTGTAAGCTAGGCTGGCAGCAGCCACGTCCCAGGGACCCGGCTGGGAATCGCAGCGGCGCACGGCGGGGCACAGGCCGGCTGTGGGGCCACCAGCTCTCGGGTGTGTGTCCACACCAGTAGCGTGCGTGTTAAGACACCACTTTGCACAATATCATCTTTAACAGCAGCCCCCTCGTCCCCATCTGTCGATCTTCCGGCTCCTTTCTGGCCTCGGCCTCATCAGGCGACTCACCGTCCTCCTCTGGACACCTCGCGCCTGGTGCCCTCCTCTGCCTCCTGCCTGTACCCCCTCGTTCTCTTTTCCTCCTCCTTGTGGGGGAGCCCTGCTCCGGGGTGTGCAGAGAAGGGGAGCGCGGGTGCCCTGCACACCTAGATCCTGTCTCGCTCACATTCAGGCGGCCGCGTCCCCCGGACATGGAGGGCCTGGCTCCCTCCTCCTCTGACGTCCCGTGCGGAGGAAGTGGGAGGGAGCAACGTCTCCGTACACCTCGTCGGAGGTCGGAAGCTCACGGCTAAACCGGTAGATGCACAGGTAGCTGTGCCAGCCCACGTTATACGGGAGAAGCGCAGATGTGCAGTTCACGGGAAAACATGCCCTTCACACGCTGCCCCGTGGGCTCTGCTCTCCCTGCCACACGCCAATCACACGCCCACCGCGGGGCCCTCGCACCTTCCGTTCCCCTGGCCGCAAGGCTTGTCCCTGCAGGCCTTCCGCACCTGACCCCGCGCCCCACCCCCACCCAGTCTGCCTTCCCCGTCCCCGCCCCCCCTTCCCCCCCCCTGTGTGACCCCCTGCAGTGGGGAGCCAGGCCTGGGTGCAGGGCCGGCTGCTCTGGCCCTCTGAGAGCAGTGCCTGGCTGGTAATTGGGCTCAATAAAGTCATGAATTTAACAATTTATGAATAAAGTATTCATGAATTAGATAATGTATGAATAAATCAGATTTATGGATACAGCTGAATTAATTCAGTGCAGTTCCTGATGAACGCACGAACGGGGGACGGATGTATCAGGCAATGTCATGGGAAAGCAGAGACAGTTTTCTATGACAACCTTCCGATGGTATCACCTGAAGGCTCTGACCCGGGGCGGGCGCAGGCATCATTTTGACAAAAGCAAAAGTTATGGGGGAAATCTCCCGTTTCCTCGGAAGCCAAGTCTTTTAACCTACTGACCTCCCAGGAAAGTGCTTGAGAGAATTCACACCTTTTGTTTAATTAATCTGTTTCCATTAAGGCTTTAAAAAAAAAAAAAAAAAAAAGCCCACCCAGTGGCCCTTCCGGAGCAAGACAGTGTCATTTCCCGCGTCGGATGTGTGGCATCCCATGTGCCATCTGCCAGGTCTTTGGGAACGTAAAGAAATGAAATGTCTTGTCTTAGACCGCTTTTCGCAAAAATCAAAGGTTTGCCTTTTCAAACCAAACATTAGCATCTTAATCAGCGGGATCGCGGCCCCCCCCTCGCGGCCCCCTGAAGTGTGAAAGTGCCGGGCTTTTCAGGCTGCGGATAAAGGCTCCTTCTGTGCGGGGGGAGAGCGGGCAGGGGTCGCCCTTTGAGGGCCCTGAATAGCTCCCTGGGTTTACAAATGTCCATGACATTCCTGAAGGGATTGAGAAGTGCCCTGGGCAGAGGTGTCATGAGAAAGTCCCGGTGGCCGGCGTGTGAATGATGCGGAGGTGAGGTCGGCAGGGCTCCGCTGGTGTGACGCGGTGACAGGCCGGGGACTTGGCCGCGAGGGCGGCGCTGTCACATCAGTAGTCACGGCACGGCCTCCTTTCTGCGGGAGTCTGTGGGCCTTGCTTGCACAGTCGCCACGACGTTACTGGCCGTATTCCCTGTGCTGTGCTTGACCTCCCGGTGACGGTCCTGTGACTGCCGTGTGTACCTCTCAGTCCCTCCACCTGTCTCCTGCTCCCAGCCCCTCCCCCCTGACCATCTGCAGTCCTCTCTCTGCGTCTGAGTCTCTTTCTGTTTCGTTTGCTCATTTATTTAGTTCTGTGGATTCCACCTCTAAGTGGAATCATTCCGGATTTGTTTTTGTGTTTTTAATCATCACCCGAGGACATTATTCTATTTTTTATTCAGATAGAGTGGAAGAGAGAGAGAGAGAAAAAAAAAAAGACATCGACATGAAAGGGACACATTGAGTGGCTGCCACCTGCACAACCAACCAGGACCGGGAACAAACTACAACCGACGTACATGCCCTTAAGCAGGAACCGAACCCGGGTCTCTCTGGACCGCAGGCCGATGCTCTAACCCCTGAGCCAAACCGGCCAGGGCCCGTTTTTGTCTTTTCTTGAACTGACTTATTTCACTTAGCATAATACCCTCTAGGTCCATCCATGCTGCCTTGTCACAAATGATATGATTTGGTTCTTTTTTAAACCATGTAATATTCCACTGTAGACATGTACCCCCACTTTTTCATCCACTATCTTTGATGGGCGCTGGGGTTGCCTCCATAGCGTGGCTGTTGTCAGAGCGGTGCAGTGAACGTAGGGGTGTGTGTACTCTTCTGAATCAGTGATTTGGATTTCTTGGGGACGTGCCCAGAAGTGGGATCACTGGGTCATAAGGCGTTTTCATTTTTAATTTTTTTTTTTTTTAATCCTCACCCGAGGACATTTTTTTTTTTTTTTTTTTTTTTTTTGCGATATTTTGTTCAGATAGAGTGGGAGGAAGAGAGAGAGAGAGAGAAACATCGACGTGAAAGCGACACATCGAGTGGTTGCCACCCACATGACCCAACCAGGGCCGGGGACAAACTGCAACCGAGGTATGTGCCCTTAGCGGGAACCGAACCCGGGTCTCTCCAGACCGCAGGCCGACACTCTAACCGCTGAGCCAAACCGGCCAGGGCCATTTTTAATTTTTTGAGGAGCCCCTACACTGTTTTCCACAGCGGCTGCACCAGTCTGCGTGCCCCCCAGCAGCACAGAGGGCCCCCTTTTCCACATCCTTACCAGCACTTGTTGTTGGTGTGTTCTCTCATTATTAAATGCATTGCTTCCCGATTTGGGCCAGTCTGTCCAGGGAGAAAGCAAAGTAAATAAGTAACAAAGCAGTTTCGCTTTAAAATACTGAAACAGGTGAGTTTAGCTGTTGGAGAAGATGGAGTCATCATACAAGGTAGGAAAGAGTTGTTACAAGTAGATGGTACATTTTCATTAGCTATTATTATTAGCTAGTAGTATATTTACTATTAACAAACGGGACACACTTAAACCTTTGACGGTATTTCCAGGGGAAAGCTTACAACTCGAAGCAGAACCGCAGCATTGTTCCCGCGGCTCCGCGTCTTCCCGTTTCCGCGCGTGTACATCTCAGCAAAGCAGCTGAGCCTTGGGTGTGCTCACACCCCACGCGAACCACGTCCGCCTTCCGGGGCTCAGGGCAGAGATTAAGCTCACTTACTTATGACTTCAGGCGTTTTCACACCAGTGGGATGACACAATTTGTGCAAGGTGTCTTCTTCATGCCTGACTTGGGGGAGCAGGAGAGGCCTCTCTGGCCTCACTCATGGGAACGGTTATTTAAAACAATAAGAGTTCAGCCCGGCCGGTGGGGCTCAGTGGTTGAGCATCAACCCTGCACCAAGAGGTCGCCGGTTCGATTCCCAGTCAGGGCACATGCCCAGGTTGTGGGCCTGATTCCCAGTGGGGGGCGTGCAGGAGGCGGCCAGTCAATGTTCTCTCTCATCCATGTTTCTATCTCTCTCTCTCCTTCTCCCTTCCTCTTTCACTAAAATCAATAAAGAAAAAAATATTTTTTTAATAATAAAAGTTCATCCCCATCTTTCTGCCACTTCCGGTGTGCCCACCCCGCCACCGTTGGCCCACGTGAGCCTTTTGGGGCCAAGATTCTTCACACTTGATCTCCAGGCAGATCACCTGCCCTGTCTGGGTGACAACTCCCCTTGAGCTTCTCCTCAGTGTCTTCCTGGCAGAGACCGAGGTCAACCAGACCGGCAGAGCCCTGCCCAGGCCACCCCCCCTGGTCTGCTGGCAGCAGGCTGGGTGCCTGTGAACCCTTGCAGACCTGGATCCAGACAGGCTCTGCCCCACCAGCTCTCCTGCTGAGCCCACAGTCCCGGTGGGGCGATGGGCCCACCTGACCTCGTGCAGCCCCTGGGAGCGTGCCAGGGCCTTCACCGCGGCTCGTGGACCCCACTCCCTGTGCCCCCAATCCTGCGGGGCCCTGACTCTGACCACCCAAGAGGACACGTTCGCTGGCCCTCAGGCGCCCATGTTGCGCTCTGGCCTGCGCCCACACTTTGGGCACAACCCTTCCAGGGTAGCAGCTCTCCTGCTGCATCCTCTCGGGAGGGAGGGAGATTGTGGACGGGGATGGGGTTCACCTGACCCCAAGCCCTGGGCCCTGGTGCCAGGCTGCGCTGCCCAGGCAGGGGCCGATGGCCACAGCCCTGGGGACAGCTTTGCTGCCCGTTCGCCAGGTGTGCATCAGAAGCTGCTCGTCATTTTGCCCCGTGTCCCCAGGATCTGTGGCTCGGCCTGGATCACACCAGGCCCTGTCCCTGGGCCTTCATTTCTCACCCCTCTGCCCACCCGGGTCCTCTGACTTACGGGAGGCCCCCACCCTCCCTCCCACGTGTTCGCCCACGGGCTCGCCAGGCACCTTGTCTACTCGGTCTTCCCCGGTCTTCCCCGTCGACACCTCTCACTGCCTGGAGCCCCAGGCGCAGGGTCCTGTCTGTCTGTGGCTGACTGTCCCCTGCGTCTCGTTTAAGCTCCACCCCTTCCTTCTCGGTCAGCTCATCAGGGGGCTGCAGGCCTGGCCTGTCTCGGGACCCCGTGCTGTGCTCACGGGGTGAGCGTGGTTGAGAACCCGCTGTCCCACCCGTTCACAGCACCACCTGCCACCCAGGCCACATGGCCTGTCCTCCCAGGTCACAACGTGGTCAGAGGTGGGGAAGCCCCAAGCCCTCAGTTACTCCCCAGGTTGGTGGGAATCCCTGCTCCCAGGGGAGCAGCCACGCAGGCTTGGGTCCCATAAATTTCCATCATATTCTGAATACAGGTGCCAGGAGATCTCATTTCCCAAACTGGCAATAGTATCTCCCACGGGAGATCCCCCCAGTCTACTGCCAGGATCCCAGGAGATCCCCCCGTCCAACTGCCGGGATCCCGGGAGATCCCCCCAGTCCCACTGCCAGGATCCTGGGAGATCCCCCCAGTCCCACTGCCAGGATCCCGGGAGATCCCCCCAGTCCACTGTCAGGATCCCGGGAGATCCCCCCAGTCCACTGCCAGGATCCCGGGAGATCCCCCCAGTCCACTGCCAGGATCCCGGGAGATCCCCCCAGTCCAACCGCCGGGATCCCGGGAGATCCCCCCAGTCCACTGCCAGGATCCCGGGAGATCCCCCCAGTCCACTGCCAGGATCCCGGGAGATCCCCCCAGTCCCACTGCCAGGATCCCGGGAGATCCCCCCAGTCCCACTGCCAAGATCCCGGGAGATCCCCCCAGTTCACTGCCAAGATCCCGGGAGATCCCCCCAGTCCACTGCCAGGATCCCGGGACATCCCCCCAGTCCCACTGCCAGGATCCCGGGAGATCCCCCAGTCCACTGCCAGGATCCCAGGAGATCCCCCCAGTCCCACTGCCAAGATCCCAGGAGATCCCCCCAGTCCACCGCCAGGATCCCAGGAGATCCCCCCCAGTCCCACTGCCAAGATCCCAGGAGATCCCTCCAGTCCACCGCCAGGATCCCAGGAGATCCCCCCCCAGTCCCACTGCCAAGATCCCAGGAGATCCCCCCAGTCCCACCGCCGGGATCCCAGGAGATCCCCCTGTCCACCACCAGGATCCCAGGGCCTGCACCTAGGCACACCCCCTGAGAAACGGGCTTGATTTCCATCTGCTCCAGTGAGAAGAAATTCTCCCTATTTTCTCCAGGGTCCCCTTTCTCCAACCACCCACCTAAGTGCCAGGGCAGGGCAGAAAAGGGGTGTCAAACCCATATGACTTCACAAACACCCAAAAAGGAGTCAGTAATGCAGCTGTCGAATGAGGGGCCAGTAATGGGTGCTTGTGGGTTCCGTGTAGTCTTCTGATGGGGCCCAGGGTCAAGTACTAGTGACTTGAAGTAGCATCAGAAGCTTCTCTATTTAGTGAGTCATTTGAATAATGCAAGTAACATAAACCATTTTACAAAAGTAGTCACCCCACAGTTATGTAATTGTAGAACCCCACAATTAACATGTGCTTTTTTGTTATTCTGTGTGTGTTTATATTTAATCCTCGCCCGAGGGTATGTTTATTCATTTTAGAGAGAGGAAGGGAGAGAGAAAGAAACATGGAGAGAGAAACATCGCTTGGTTGCCTCCCGTAGGTGCCCTGACCGGACACTGAACCTGCAACCTTTCCGGTGTGTGGGACGCTCCGACCAACGGAGCCACCCGACCGGGACACATTTTTCGCCTGGTTGTGATCGTATAGAAAAATATTTGGTATTTTCATATGAGCCGTTTCCTCCGTCATTCAGATGTCGCACGAGCAGGGCCTTCTGTCCGGGAAGCGGGGGGAAGGCCGACGATACCACCAAGCTCGGACGGGTGTCCCTCATGACCCTGAGTCCACACACCAGGCTGGAAGTCAGACGTGGCTTCTCCACCGCAGCAGCCCTCCACTAATCTTCGCGTGAAAGTTTGTAACGTCCGTGTTTCTCTTCTTCCATGCGGGGCACAGACCTGTGGAAGAACAAGGACGAGTCGAAGAACTTCCCCCAGGACTACGATCCGGAGATGATCAAGGAGGAGAAGCGGAAGGAGCTGGAGCTGGAGATCCGGGAACAGGTAGAGCCGGGCTCGGGTGCGCACCACGCCCGCCCTGCCCGTGTCCTCCTGGTGACCCCAGACCAGAGACGCCCAAGGACGCGAGTCGCTCACAGGAGGTGTGTTTTGTATCCACCCAGGTTGATGAGCTGATGAGACAGGAACTGAAAAACTTGAAGCTCGCTGTGAACAGAGAAAAGGAACTCCCGCCCAAAACACCGAAGAAGAAAGGAGGTAAAAATGTGAGTAGTGAGTGAGCTGGGGGGGGGGGGGGTGGCGGGATGAGGCTGAGGGCAGAGTCCGACCATGAGAAGGAGCCCCGCCCGGGCTCTGGTGGGGTGGCCAGGAGGGCGGCGTCCGGCCTTCCCGTGCCCGGCGGCCCCACAGGGAACAGGCCTTCCTTTCCTGAGGGTACCTCCTTCCACCGCGTCATCCTTGGGGTGGTGGGCTCATGGACAGGGTAAGCTGACCCCTCACCACTGCGGATCCCTATTGCCCAGGCCCCAGATGTGATGAGAACTGTGAGGTGAACCAGGGCCCGTGCCCCAGATGCCCCTCATCTCCCCCGTCGGCAGATTGTGGAGGTGGGGAGCTAGTGGCAATGAGCAAGTTCTTTGCCCTGGGGCTGGGGGGGAGTTGAGATCAGATGAAATGAATTTTAAATCATCCCTGATCTATCTCACAGTGGTTTAGAGTAGCCCGTGGGATCCCAGTGTTCAAAGTTCCCTTCCCGGGCCTGTAGGATGATAGGGAATACAGAGGCGTCTTGGCCTCTGCGCCCGTTTTTGACAGAACTCCTGAGACCCTGGTACGTTTCCAGGTGATAAGAGCATTGGAACACCTGTGGTTCAATGAGGCGATTGGGTGGGCTCCTGGAGGTCGGGTGGGAGGGTCACCAGGCGAGCAGGCCGTGAGCAGGAGCCGGGGTTCCAGCCCCACCTCCGTGCTCTGCAGAAGGGTGACTGGCCGGAAGGAGGGTGATAACTGGCCATGCCTGTGGGGGCTCCATAAAGTCCCCCAGTATGGGCTTCGGAGAGTTTTCAGGGTGGTGAACGCACCACACACCAGGAGGGCGACGCACCCCGACTTCACCGAGACAGAAGCTCCTGCCCTCGGGGCTCCCCCAGACCTCGCCATGCGTCTCTTCATCTGGCTATTTGTCTATTATTTACAAATATATTTTATTTGTTTTTCAATACTTTTTAAATTGATTTTTAGAGAGAGAGGAAGGGAGAGGGAGAGAGAGAAACATCCATCATTGCCTCCTGCACGCCCCCAACCAGGGATCGAGCCCACAACCCAGGCCTGTGCCCTGACCGGGAATCGAACTGGCCACCTCTTGGTGCATGGGACGATGCCCAACCAACCGAGCCACACTGGCCAGGACTACAATATCCTTTAATACACTGGAAACTGTTTCCCTGAGTTTTCTGAGCCATTCCAACAGTTCACGGAACCCGAGCTGGGCTTCGCGGGACCCTCAGATCTGCGGCCGGTTGGTCTGAAGCTCTAGCCACCTCGTCAGTGTAGCATGAGGGGCAGCTCAGGGTCCCCTGCCCCCTTCGCTGGCTGTTCCCACCCGGCAGCCTCGCACGAAGCTGTTGGACTCCCATGTTGACTTCCTACAAGGGGGACGTCCACGGGGCCTGTCTCTCTGGGCAGCTGCAGTCCTCGTGATAAATGAGTCCAGTTACGTTAGTCAGCTGACATCCCCGGGAAGACAAGGCTGGCCCTGCCCCCGCCCGGCGCTCGCTCTCTCTCTCTCTCTCTCTCTCTCTCTCTCTCGTTCCTCCTCGTTATTTAAACAGAAATCTACAATCTAATCAAAAGAAACAAATGAGCATTATCATGAAAAATTCCATTGCACCGGAAATGAAGCTCTTCTGACTGCTTTCACAGTTTGGACCTAGCGGAGGACAGGCTGGGCTCCAAGACAGGTCGATGAGAAAGCCCAGCCAGAGCACGGAAAGAGCAAAGCACGTCAAGAACCGGCAAGAAAATCGATGGCATGCTTATCCACCAATGATGAGCTCACAGAAAGAGAAACTAAGAAAACAATCCCATGTACCATTGCGGCAAAAAAATTAAGATACCTAGGAATAAACTTAACCAAAGAAATAAAGGACCTATTCGCAGAAAACTACAGGTCATTGAGAAAAGAAATAGAGGAAGATATAAAGAAGTGGAAGCACATACCCTGTTCATGGATTGGGAGAATTAACATCACTAAAATGTCCATATTACCCAAAGCAATCTATAGATTCAAATGCAATCCCCATCAAAATACCAACGACATATTTCATAGAACTAGAACAAATACTTCAAAAGTTCATATGGAACCAAAAAAGACCTCGAATAGCCACAGCAATCTTGAAAAGGAAGAACAAAGTAGGTGGGATCACAATACCAGATTTCAGGTTATACTAACAAGCTACCGTAATCAAAACAGCCTGGTACTGGCACAAGAACAGGAATATAGACCAGTGGAACAGAACAGAGAAGCCAGAAATGGACCCAAGGCAATATGCTCAATTAATATTTGATAAAGGTGGCAAGAGCATACAGTGGAGTAAGGACAGCCTCTTTAATAAATGGTGTTGGGAAAATTGGACAGCTACATGCAAAACAATAAAACTAGACCATCAACTTACACCATACACAAGAATAAACTCAAAAGGGATAAAAGACTTAAATGTGACTCACGAGTCCATAAAAATCCTAGAACATGTAGGCAACAAAATTTCAGACATCATACGCAGCAGAATTTTCACTGATACATCACCTAAGGCAATAGAAACAAAGGAGAAAATGAACACATGGGACTACATCAAACTCAAAAGCTTCTGCACAGCGAAAGATACAATCATCAAAATGGAAAGGCTACCCATTGTATGGGAGAACATAATTGCCAATGATATATCACATAAGGGGTTAATCTCCAATATATATAGAGTGCTCATACAATTCAACAAAAGGAAGACATAGAACCCAATTAAAAAATGGGCAGAGGAACTAAATAGACACCTCTCCAAACAGGACATACAAATGGCTGAGACATATGAAGAAATGCTCATCATCACTAATCATCAGAGAGATGCAAATTGAAACAACAATGAGGTATCACCTCACACCTGTCAGAATGGCCGCCATCAACAAATCATCAAACAACAAGTGTTGGTGAGGGTGTGGAGAAAAGGGGACTCTAGTACACTGCTGGTGGGAATGCAGACTGGTGCAGCCACTATGGAAAACAATATGGTGTTACCTCAAAAACTTAAAAAGTGAACTTCCATTTGACCCAGTGATCCCACTTCTAGGAATATACCCTAAGAAGCCTGAAACACCAATCAGAAAGAATATATATACCCCCATGTTCATACTAGCACTATTTACAATAGCTAAGATCTGGAAACAGCCCAAGTGTCCATCAGTAGACGAATGGATAAAAAAGCAGTGGTACATATACACAATGGAGTACTATGCAGCGGTAAGAAAGAAAGATCTCTTGTCCTTTGAGACGACATGGAGGGACCTGGAAAGTATTATCCTAAGTGAAACAAGCCAAACAGAGAAAGACAAGTATCATATGATCTCACTTCTTTGTGGAATATAATGAACCTAACAGTCTGGGGAATGGGGTAGTCCCAGAGATGTGGAAGTGGGGTACAGACTGACAATCCCCAGAAGAGGGGGTGGTGGGGGAGAGAGAAACCACAGAACTTATATGCATGTGTGCATGAACAGTGGACATGGACAACAACAAACTGGGGACAGGGCAGGGAGGGAGGGGGAGGGGGGAATCAGTGGGGGGAAAAGGAGAAACCTCTAACAAAAATTAATTAATAAAAAATAAATAAATTAACAAAAAAATAAAAAATAACCGGCAAGAGCGTCGCCGTTCCCGCGACCCGCACGGAGGTCCGCCCACCCGCCCCAGGGAGACCACGTGCGGAGTCGGCCGGGCCTTCCCCCACGGCGACGGCAAACGAGGAAACGCCTCTAATCAATCCTCTGAGCCCCACGGAGGACCTAGGGGGAAAAGCAATAAAAACCCCACGTGAGCAGAAAGAAGAAAACAATCCAAAGAAAGCAGAAGTGAGTGAAACTGAAAACAAAAGGCAGCAGAGAAAAATGGAGCTGGCCCTTCGGAAATCGTCAATAAAACTGACCGGGCTCCAGAGACACGGGCAAAGGCAGAGGAGGGGAGACATGGGCAGTACCGGGGAGGGCACGGACGTCGCTGCCCACCGCAGCCGTCGAAGGGATGCTCAGGGCCCGCGGACAGCTCTGTCACCGGCAGCCGACACGACGGGCCTGCTCCCTCAGAAACACACGCTTGCACGACGCGCCCGGTAGGAGCCGGATCATTTGACCAGCCCTGCAGCGGTGAAGGGAGTTGAATTCATAATTAAAACAACTCCCCAAATAGGATTTCCAGGCCGAGGCGGTTTCACTGGAGAATTCTACCAAATGTTTGAAGGAGAATTAACACCAGTTCTACCTAATCGCGTCCAGAAATAGAAAAGAAGGAAAAGAAGCGACTCCCCAGCTCCTCTCATGAAGTCAGTGAAAAAGCCAAAGTCAGGAGCAAAAAGGAAGAAAGGTAGACAGCCAAGGGCCACTGTCCTTCGTGGGCATCGACGCCAACACCCCACGGAAGGTCAGCGCACGGAACCAGCGACGCGTGAGGAACTGCAGGCGCTGTGCAGACAGGGCCCCTCCAGGCAGGCAGGTGGAGTTCAGTGGTTGAAAATGAACCATGTCATCAACTCTGTCGACAGGTTCAGGAAGAAAAAATCAGATCACCTCGTTGACGCAGGAAAAATCATTTGATGTAATTTAACACCCACTCGTGATGAATCTGTTCAGAAAAACTGGAGCAGAACGTCCTCGGCTTGATGAGAGCATCTGCAAAATCACCCGCCGCTGAGCTCTCCCTCCCAGAGCGGGGCACGCCTGTCCCCGAGACGGGAGCGAGGCGCGGGGGCCCGAAGTGGCAGCCGCGCCGCAGCGCAGGGCTCCTGGTGTGCAGGGGCTAACGGTGGGGTGGCCAAGGCAGGGAGGTGACGGTGACCTCGAAAGCGCCCGAGGAAGGGGCCCCCGTGAGGACAGGAACGCTGCGGCCTTGACCGCATCAGGTTGATGTCCGTGTCCGGGGTGACTCGCGGGCCGTTCTGTGGACGGCGGCATCGGGTGAGCCCTGGCGAAGGCGCACAGGCTGTCCCCGTCTGTCTGCTTCTCAACTGCTTGGGCATCGGCCAGTATCTGAAAACTTCGTCTCGTTTTTTTAAAACTGAACGACATGAACGGAGCAGCCGCACGTGAACCTCGCCGCCGTCGCGCCCGCGGAAGGAAGCCAGCGCGACAGGGCTCAGCGCGGGCCGCGCCGGAGGGGCCGCCGTCTCCAGCCGGGCGGGAGGCGTGGCTGCGTGTGGGCGGGGCGGGAGGCGGGGCTGTGTGTGGGCGGGACGGGAGGCGTGGCTGCGTGTGGGCGGGGCGGGAGGCGTGGCTGCGTGTGGGCGGGGGCGGGAGGCGTGGCTGCGTGTGGGCGGGGCGGGAGGCGGGGCTGTGTGTGGGCGGGACGGGAGGCGTGGCTGCGTGTGGGCGGGGCGGGAGGCGTGGCTGCGTGTGGGCGGGGGCGGGAGGCGTGGCTGCGTGTGGCCGGGCGGGTGTGCGGTGTGAGGCCAGTGCGGTCCGGGACGAGCCCGTGGGTCTGGGTGGGCGCGCTCCTGCTCATACCGGTTCCCCAGGGAAAAAGACGAGGGGCCGACACGGAGCCGGGCGAGGGAGCGGCAGGCAGCCTGTGTGGTCAGGTCCTGGGCCCCTGAGGAGGCCCGAGATGGAAGAGAACCGGGCAGGGGACAGAGGCCGGGCTGGGAAGGTCTGCCTGTGCCGCGGGCCCTCACGGGGTCCTGTGGGCAGCGGGTGTTTCGTGAGAAGGGGAAGCGGCCAGCCCTGTTTCAGATCACCTTCTCGGCCCTGCCCCCAGCTGGCACGGTCTCTGAGGGCAGAGCCCTGGGGACCCAGACGTGGACATTGGCCCGGCCTGCAGCTGCTGACAGAGGTGACCGGGTACCAGAGACAAGCGTGGCTCGCTGGCCGTGCCCGCGGACAGTCACCCCTTGCTGTGCCCTGTGCCCGAGCCCAGAGAAGCATCCCAGTGCCCGGGCCTGATGGGGTGAGGCCGTGCGGGTCTCACGGTGCCGACCTCGCTTTCCGTCCACAGGGACGTGGGGTGTTCGGGGCGCAACCCTGGTTCACAGAGCGGCGCTCTCTAGATGCTCCTGGAGTCCCCACCGCTGACTCCACCCCTCGGCCGCGGGAACCAGCTCCCCAGCCCACTTCCAGACCTCACTGGTTCCCTTGTTTTTCCTAAACTACTGGGTATTTCACTCTCTTCTAGAAACAGAAGGAGAAGAAAGGCAAAAAAGGGAAGAAGGGGAAGTTTAAGGACCTGACGGGGGACAGGTGAGCAGTGCCCTTGTTCTGGTGTGATGCACATGGGGGGTCACCCCGAGGAGGGGGGACACGGCAGAGTCCCGGGCCTGCGTCGGGCTGGCTGGCAGGGGCCCCTGTGGCCCCTACGGGTGTGTCGGGGACGGTGCCGGCCCCAGTGCGTCCTGTACAAGGAGCAGCACCTGCTGGGAGCCGCGCCAGGAAGATGGGCCCCGGAGGCACCCCTGGGCCCACCGAGCTCGTGTGGCCTTTTCACGCGGTGAAATTCATGGGGTTCTTAAGAATTGTTTAAAATAGGACACCCTCGTCCAGCTCTGAGGAAACACAGAGACGCTTTCGTCGAACTAATGGAAACCTTAAACCGGTATTTTTCCAATAGCTTACGGTGGTTTTAAACTTGAAAATGTTTTCCGTAACAAAAATTCTTTCCTCTGGGCAGATCCGACTGCAGGCTTGCGTTCGGGGCTGCTTAGTGTATTGTTCTGATTATTTTAGGGACTCTTCAATTTTATGTTAATAGTTTGTGCATGTTCTATGTTTATATTAAATAAGTCATTCAAGCTAAACTGCTATAGTTGATATTTTCTCAACATGGGTCAGACACTGTTACCTGAAATACCACCACAATTAAAACCTTGATTCTCAACTGAGGGCACACTATTTTAAATATATTTGGTAGAATAAAATCCAGTCAATCAAAGGCTAGGGTCATGAGTTAACATTTATCCCAATGGTGTTTGGCCTGAATCTGATATTCTAGAGTCTCTCTTAATCATGCTAACCGGGATCCGAGAACAGCCAAGGAACTGTTTAAATATAGCATGTCCACCATTCCTCACTCTAAAGGAAGGCTGAGTCAGAACCAGAGCAGGGCCCCCAGAGAAGACGGAAAAGACAAAACATCTCAAAGGATTATGCCAAACAGTATTTGAACTTGACCTGTCTGCATTCCTGCAAGCCAGGTCCCTGTTAATTTCATTGGGGGTTTCGTTCGTCACGTGAGATGGTATCCCCATTTTTTCCTCAATTAGTGTAAATTACCCGTGCCCTGGCTCTAGGCCCAAGGACTTCTCAGCGAAGTGGTCTTGACGTCTGTGAACACTGTGGAAAAGTATGCTGTCCTCCTAAAAGATCATCACACTCAAGCTTGAGAGGTTTTCTCTTCCATACTAGAATATTTCCCCTGTAGGTCTTCGTTCTTTGCAGATGTTTCTTTTAAACGATTGTGCTATTGGCTAAAAGGGAAACATCAGTTTTGTGAAGGAGTAATGATCGACTACGGCTTGCAGATGCTAACTGAATATGTAATTATCGAGAATTTCTCATTCATGTCTGTGCCATCAGACTGCAAGGGTCATAGCTGGGCTCACGTATCATTGTTAATGAATAACGTCTGATACACGCGTGGATGTGGGGACGTAGTGTGTCTTTTCTTGTTGTTTTATTTTATTTTTAATCCTCACCCGAGGATATTTTTTCCAATGATTTTTAGGTAGAGTGGAAGGGAGGGAGGGAGGGAAGGGGGGGGGAGAGAGAAACATCCATGTGAGAGAGACACATCTATTGGTTGCCTCCCGCACAACCCTGACCAGGGTTGGGGATTGAACCTACAACCCAGGTACGTGCCTTTGACTGGGAATTGAACCTACGACCCTTCGGTCCTTGGGCCAGCCCTCCAGCCACTGAGCCACACTGGCCAGGACCAAAAGTATTGTTTTTTAAAAGCCTAATTTATTCTCAAATTGTAGCAACACCTCAAAAAAAAAAAATCCATTTATTTGCATATATGCGAATGGGCTTTGGAATAGCTGTGGCTGCATCTCTGCAGCTGCGATGCTTAGTAGAAATGTCCTGACTTCACCGGGCCTCTTCTGAAACTGACGGTCTGCTCCCTCCCCAGAACCATCGAGTCTCTGTACCAGGAGCTGGTGCAGGAGGGCCTCCTCATGCAGGTTCTGAAAGTCGGCCTGTCCGACTACATCGGTAAGTACAGGGAGGGTGCCGTGTGCACGCGGCCTGCGTGTCCTCCCTTGGCTCCGGGGGCCCCAAAGCTGGAAGTCCGTCCCATTGGTGGTTTTGTGCAAGCCCAGACCTGGCCATTCATGGCCGGCAGTGTCCGCTGGGTCCAAGTGGATTTGAGTTCGTCCTGTGCTGCGGACGGGCGGGGCCAGCTCTCTCCCCTGATGCAGCAGAGGCAGGTTTTCCACTGCTGGCCGGGTCCCCAGGCTCCCGCTCGGTGGAAGCTGAGTCGAGGACACGAAGAACTGTTCGTGTTTTGTGCTTAAACAAATGCCGAAGGGACGGCACCTCAGGGTCCTTTCTCAGCTCAGTCCGTCTGGGAGGAGTCCTCCCAGAGGGGCCCCGCCAACGCCATCCGGAGGAAGGTGGTGGGGACATGTGCGTCACCCTCTTCGAATCATTATTTTCCTAATATTTTTTAAAAAAACAATAGGACGACCTGAAAACACAGTTAAAGCTTAAAACCCCACACACTGCGCCCCTACTGCAGATGACGTTCACACTGTCACACGTCTGCAGGGGACGAGGACCTTCTACGCAGCCACAGAAGGAGACTCACACTGGGAAAATCGAATGTCGATACGACACTGTCAGCTACTATCTAGTTACTAGCCCTTGTCCACAGTGGTCCCCGGATGGCCCGTGTAACTCTGTCTTTCTCCGTCGACACTCCATCCCGGACCCTGGCCTGCGGGCCTGTGGGGACTCTCCTGCGTTCCTTCCGCCTAGGACGACTCCCAGCACTTTTCTCTCTTTTCGTGAAATTGACCTTTTTAAACAGTCTGCGCTGTTTCCCGGGCCGCCCTGCCACGGAATTGGTTTGACGGTTTTTTTATGACTTGATTCACATTAAACATGCGTGACAGGAAAGCTGTGTAGGGGACGCTGTGCCCTCGCTGGGGACACACGGTGACACTTTGTCCCTCGCTGGTGGTAAGTTTTTGTTTTGTAATTTGTTCTTTGTTTTATTCTTTATTGATTTTAGAGAGAGAGGAAGGGAGAGGGAGAGATAGAAACATCGATGAGAGAGAACATCGATTGGCCGCCTCCTGCACGCCCCCCACTGGGGATCAGGCCCACAACCTGGGCGTGTGCCCTGACCGGGAATCAAACCGACAACCTCTTGGTGCAGGGTCACTGCTCAACCACTGAGCCACACCGGCCGGGCTGGTGATAAGTTTAATCACTGGGGAATGGGCTGTTCCTCAGATTTCTCCCTGTAAAGCTCCATTTTCCACTCTTTAATTAAAGGAAAATTGGGGTGGGGAGTACATGGAGGCTGCGGAGATTCTGTTCCCATCTGTGTTTAAGGTGTCGACACCCACGGGTGACTTTTGCTGCATCGGCTGTTGCTGTGGTAGCTGTTGCCATGGTGGCTGTCAGATGGGGGTGCTCTGTTTCTAGCATCCCTTCCACATTAATTAGGGACCATTCTTCTGGAAAGACATGTCCCTCCCACCCTCCTTGAAAATGTGTGGTATCAGTGTGGGACATGAATTCTCCCCTTTCAAGTTGTGTTATAATTCAATTCATTCTTATGTTTACAATGACCCAGCTGGGTCTGTGGGAGCAAGAAGGCTGACGTTGCCCCCTGGGCAGAACAGGGTCACTGTGATCCGTTGCGAGGAGGCGCGTCGCGTCCTGAGGCCCCGGAAGGCTTGCGTGGTTCCTCCCCGTGCACCAGCTTCCCGAGGCACACTGGAATGTGTGCTGGCTTTCTGCTTATTTTATGTGTTTCTTGTTCAAGTACTGTAGGGCTTTGGCCCTTGATTATGTTCTGCTTATTCTGTGATATGAAAAAAAAATACTTTTAATAGAACCCTATATTTCCACCTTGTGGTTGGGGTCTCTGACTCCTCCCCTCCGTGTGGCTGGGATCTCTGACTCCTCCCCTCCGTGTGGCTGGGATCTCTGACTCCTCCCCTCCGTGTGGCTGGGATCTCTGACTCCTCCCCTCCGTGTGGCTGGGATCTCTGACTCCTCCCCTCCGTGTGGCTGGGATCTCTGACTCCTCCCCTCCGTGTGGCTGGGATCTCTGACTCCTCACCTCCGTGTGGCTGGGATCTCTGACTCCTCCCCTCCGTGTGGCTGGGATCTCTGACTCCTCCCCTCCGTGTGGCTGGGATCTCTGACTCCTCCCCTCCGTGTGGCTGGGGCTCTGACTCCTCCCCTCCGTGTGGCTGGGATCTCTGACTCCTCCCCTCCGTGTGGCTGGGATCTCTGACTCCTCCCCTCCGTGTGGCTGGGATCTCTGACTCCTCCCCTCCGTGTGGCTGGGATCTCTGATCTCCCCTCCGTGTGGCTGGGATCTCTGACTCCTCCCCTCCGTGTGGCTGGGATCTCTGACTCCTCCCCTCCGTGTGGCTGGGATCTCTGACTCCTCCCCTCCGTGTGGCTGGGATCTCTGATCTCCCCTCCGTGTGGCTGGGATCTCTGACTCCTCCCCTCCGTGTGGTTGGGATCTCTGACTCCACCCCTCCGTGTGGCTGGGGCTCTGACTCCTCCCCTCCGTGTGGCTGGGGCTCTGACTCCTCCCCTCCGTGTGGCTGGGATCTCTGATCTCCCCTCCGTGTGGCTGGGATCTCTGATCTCCCCTCCGTGTGGCTGGGATCTCTGACTCCACCCCTCCGTGTGGCTGGGATCTCTGATCTCCCCTCCGTGTGGTTGGGATCTCTGATCTCCCCTCCGTGTGGCTGGGATCTCTGACTCCTCCCCTCCGTGTGGCTGGGATCTCTGATCTCCCCTCCGTGTGGCTGGGATCTCTGACTCCTCCCCTCCGTGTGGCTGGGATCTCTGACTCCTCCCCTCCGTGTGGCTGGGATCTCTGACTCCTCCCCTCCGTGTGGCTGGGATCTCTGACTCCTCCCCTCTGTGTGGCTGGGATCTCTGACTCCTCCCCTCCGTGTGGTTGGGGCTCTGACTTCTCTTGTCTGCTTTCTCCCTCACAGTGTGTCACTTTTGTTCACCACTGACTTCCTAGTGTTTTGTTTGGTGCCTGGCACATGGTAGAGTCTCAGAAAAATAATGTACCTATTTCTCGTCTTCCTATTAATGTCTTGTCCATCTGGACTTTTTCAATGACCTCTGTGCGTTTCCAGGCAGCATCCTAAGATGCCTGAGACCAGAGTGAATGGGGTCAGCTACGGAAGAGTGACCGCCAATGAAAATGAACCCAGTCTTACAAAATTATTCAAACTGCCCCAGGGCTGCCTCCCTTTGATGTTGTCCTCAGTGTTTCCCAGTTAAGATCTCGGCTTGAACGATGGCTGAGGGCCTCCCCTGGGCCCCTTAGAGAAATAGGCAGAGCGACTAGATCCCAGAAACTAAACCTGTGGACAACATTACACACAACGAAGTGGCCAGGTTTCCCCTCAAACCTCAGAGCACAAGACACTGGGAATGAGGACCAGAAGCCTGAGTAACTGGCCAGCACCCCCGGGAAAGGACCGCGGGAATGGGGGCGGTTGGCCCCTCGGGAGCGAAGGGGTGAATAGGAGGACAGGCCGTGGCCAGGGCAGCCCTACCTCTCTGTTCTCCTCAGAGTGACCGGCCGCAGCTCCCTCCACGGGGCCTCATCCCGGCCAGAAGCTCTTGGGAACAGACTTACAACTGAACAGGACAAAACAACAGAGAGCAAAGAGAAGGTCCAGAAGCTGGGGGAGGGGCACAGAACCAGGCGTCTGAAGAAGCGAGCCCCTTTGGAAAAGGACGCCGGTCAGACTGGGCCAGGACCCACCCTCCTGACCTCGTCTCAGCTCATGACACCTGCAACAACCCTATTTCCAAAGGGGTGACCTTTGAGATCCTGGGGGTTGACTCCTCCTGGGAAGGGTGAGGGGATGCAGGCCCACCCGTCACGCGTGGCCTGTGTCTCTGTCCCCTTGCGCCCCCCCCCCCCCGCGGAGGAGCTCCCCGTGCAGGGAGAAGCCCTGGGTCCCAGCTGAGGAGGTGACATGGGCTTGTGGCTCCCATGCTGGGGACAGCCAACGTGGTAAGATGTTTTCAGGGTGAGTCTCGTCCCTCGGTAGAGGGCCCCGGCCAGCTGTGTCCTCCGCCCCGTCAGAAGCCACAGCCACTAATTCACCCTCAGGTGTCAGAATGAGATCTGGTGCTAGAAGCCACGGTGCACTGGATACGGGTTTGCGTGAGCAGGGACACGGGGTCACCTGCGCGTCACCTGTACCGTGTGTGACAGCAGTGAGTGCGATGTGCGCTGGCCACGGGCTCTCTCCCGACTCCAGCGCTGTTGTGAGCTGCTCACTAAAAAGCGCGGATCGGAAGCCGCACGGGGGGCTTTGCTCATCGCTCACCCCCCCCACCCCTCCCCCGTGCTCTCGCCAAGGACTTGAGTTTTTCAGCGGAGGCTGGGAGAGGCTGCCCTCCGCCACGTGACAGTGCGTTCTCTGCTCTTTAACTCGTTTTCTGAGGGTTGGAAAGTGCTTTCAAGCTTTGATACTTCCAGTATTTCATATGCACACGAGTGTACGTCTTCAGCATTTTATCCACTCACGTGAATGTGTCCGTGGGACGCAGATAACCTCCGACGCTCGGCAAGGTCTGCGCGTGTCATACCAAGAGTCAGAAGAAAGGATCGTTTGGTGTTTTCGCTTCGGACTCCCGCACAAATCAAGAGGACTCTGCGAACACGTAAGGGTCCGTCCTCTTGACGAATGGTGACAGCCAGACTCATTGTCATGGTGACCTTATCTGGACCTGTTGGAAAATAACACTTCAGATTTATGACTCGTCACAATTAAGCCCTTTGATGTCTTCTAATTAAATCTGTAAAGATTTATTTCTGTCTTACTCCTTTGGTGAAGCCTTTTAAAATGTAAATGAATATTCCCCTCAAAGAGAGACACTTCTATCTATCCTAAATCCACGCGTGTCCTTCCTTGCAAATGACTCTGTGTCACATTCAGATGGGCACCGCTCCCACGCGGATCCCACGTGGCGGTCTGTCTGAGCGTATGTTGGCATCTCCTGGACTGTCAATTAAACCTGCTCAATTCGCCTTGCCCGATGTGGCTCAGCGGTTAGAGCGTCGGCCTGCGGTCCAGAGAGACCCGGGTTCGGTTCCCGCTAAGGGCACGTACCTCGGTTGCGGTTTGTCCCCAGCCCCGGTTGGGTCGTGTGGGTGGCAGCCACTCGATGTGTCCCTTTCAGGTCGATGTTTCTCTCTCTCTCCCTCCCTCCCACTCTATCTGAACAAAATATGGAAAAATGCCCTCAAGTGAGGATAAAAAAAAACCCTCAACTTTAGTCTTCTTTGTACATCCTTCGTTTTATTTTTTATTTTATTTTTTAAAATCTTCACCCAATGATATATTTACATTTATCTTCAGACAGAGTGGGAGGGAGGGAGGGAGAGAGAGAAACATCAATGTGAGAGGGACACATCGACTGGCTGCCACCCGCAGGACCCCAACTGGGGCCGGGGATGAACCGCAACCAAAGTACGTGCTCTTGGCCAGAACCGAACCCGGGCCTCTCTGGTCCGCAGGCCGACGCTCTCACCGCTGAGTCAAACCAGCCAGGGCTGTACATCTTTCACTTTAGAACTTTGTTCCTCTTCACCAGCCCCATATTCAAAGGTTATTTTTTAAATATGAAGAGGTTGGTATCAGAGTCAGCACGCAGCCCAGTGCACTTTCGCGACGGACGGTTCTCCCAGCCTTTCTCTGAGAACGCGTGTCCTTCACCCGGACCGCCACGCGCCTCCGTTTCTCAGAAGTGTGCCCTTGCACTCTGTGCGAGCTCTCGATGCCGTTCCCCTCCCGACTCCTCGTTTCCTTCCCCAGGGGAGTACAGCTACCTGGGGACCACGCTGCGCCGCGTGTCCATCGAGCCCATGCCGTCCCTCCTGGATGTCAGACAGCTCGTCACCCTCTACGGGATCCTGCCTCTAGGTAAGACCCCGCTCGCCCACCTGCCGGCGTCGACTGTCTTCCCGGTCATCACCCGTGCGCGGGCTTCCTACCCACCCCACCCCCCCAGCTCTGAGTGAGGGCTTGTCATCGCGACGGTGCGTGGCACAGCACCCCAGGGAGTCTCTGGGTGCCTGCTCCCGGTTCTGGGCCATCACCTGCAGAGAGAGTAGCCAGAGCCCCTGCAATGAAAATGCGTCGCCTTCGACACAGGGCTGCGGGAACGGCGGGCCTCCGCACACAGACGTCTGCGGTGAGGTCCCTGCCAGGGTCGGCGAGGGGCTTCATGAATCCAGGGGACGGAGGCCCTGCCGGGCGTCACTGAGGGCCGCTCCCACCGCTGCGTGGGGCTCAGCCATGACTGCTCAGACGCTGGGACCCAGGTCCTGCGGGGTCCCGGAGGTGCCGGGAGGCGGGTTCTCCGGGACATGCAGCTGCTGCTGTTCACTGTAATTCTCATTTTTACGACGTTAACATGTGAATGTCCTGAGCCAGCTGGGACAGGAACCCGGCCAGGCTGCGCCCCGACCACCATTCTCAAACAGAAATCGCTTCTCATCGGGTCAATGTGCTTTGGAATGAGATGGTAAAACTTTGGGCACTTCGAATATTGCTCCACTTTGACGAGAAGGACTTAAACTTCCTGGCGAGAAGTGGTTCACGCCCCTTAACTTCACGTGGGAAGTAGTGAATGGATTCGGGTTAGCGTACGTCTATTTAACGTGAACAAGTGGACAGTGCCTGGGACCCTCACAGTCAGTATGGGACATCCACGGCCCATGCAGACAAGAAGCCATCACAGGGTAACGGACGGCCCCGGAGCCAGGAGACCAAGAGCTGGCGAGACTAAGGAAGTGCCTAACAGAGGGGAGGGGGCGTGGGCGACCCCGGCTCCTGGGTACAGGTGACAAAGTGAGGAGAAGGGCGCTCAGGAAGCGCCCGGCCGGAACCCCCTTCAGTGAGGACCCTGGAGCCCCTCAGCTGCTGACTTCCCCAGGCCCCAGAGCTGGCCAGCGTTTGTTCTCATGACCGGTGTGCGCACGTGTGTGCACGTGTGTGTGCGCATGTGCGTGTGTGCACGCGTGTGTGCGTGTGCGTGCGCACAGCCAAGGCTGACAGAAGTGTCCACGTCTGCCTCTGAGTGCTCCATCCCCACACCGGCCGTCTAAAGTAGGAATGTACTCGTTGGCCGGACCCGTCAGGCCACCACTACCAGGACTGACCAACTTGGCCTCTCGGCAGAGGACACCAAGGACGCAGTGGAGGCCACTGTCCAGCCGGGGTCTGCGGGCCTCCGTCCTGGCTCCCGGGCCTCTGCTGGGCTACAGGACAGGGTTGAGCTGTCAAAGGCCCTGGGGCAGATGGAAGCCCAGGGGGCATCGCGCAGCGTCCACGCCCTTCCTGGAACCGCCACCGTGCCCTGAGCAGGAAGGGGAAGGGGAAGGGCAGAGGGCGCCTGGCCCGCCCGGGGCTTTACAGGAATTGTGTGGGTTCCCAGCAACGTGGCAGGTGGGCGCTGGACCCGCGTGCCAGCTGGGCCAGCTGCCTGGCGTCCCGCCCCAGGAAGCCACAGCGCTGGCTCGGCGCACGGAACACGGGCCCCTGTGGCTCCAATCCTCCGAACACCGAAAAGCCTGGAAAGTTACAGTCTCTCAGCGATTCTCCGTACGTTCTGGAACTGCCATCGAAAGTGGAGATGGGCGGGAAGGGTCAAAGACGCTGGGGCAGGTGCGCCCCGCCAGCGACCTGCCCCTGCCCCGGCTGCCGCTGTGCAGAGGCCTCCCAGACCACCCCTCCCTCTCCGCGACCTTGGGACCACCTCTCCCTTCCGGAAAGTCACTGCCCTGGAGTAACTGCGCCTTCTCTTGGGCCTCCCGCCCGGTCCCCTCCCCGGTTCTGGTCTCAGCCCCCCCTCTCCCACCCTCCCAGGAACCTCCCTCGCACCCCGCACCCCGGCCCAGCTAGCACCTTGGGCTGGTCTGCACCCCGACCACCTTCCGGGGACCCCGCAGCTGGCGTCAGTGTCCCTCCCCCCTTGCCGCCCCTCCCATGCTCCTCGGGATTACCTGCCGCTCCCCAGGGCCCACCTGACACCCCGCAGCAGGCCTGCGTCCGCCTGGAATCTCCCCACATGTGTCCCTCGCCGTGTGCTCCCATTCCACCGGCGCTTTGGAGGCGGCTCGACCGCCACCTCCTCCTGGAAGCCTGCCTGAGCCACCCCCGCCCTGCACCCCAGTCGAATCTGGTTTCTGCCCTGAACCCTCCGTGGCTCTCATGGATCTTCACATCATTTGCCCTCCATCCTCGTCATACCCACTTGGGCTTCATACAATTTTTACAGCAGTTCTTGACTCTGCACGTTGGAACCCCGAAGGCTGCCGGCCAGGACCAGGACCTGGGCAGCCCGCAGCGCCCCGCTGCCGAGAAGACCCAGCGAGGGGCGCCTCTCTCCAGCTGGGTCCCCTCACCTCCCACTCACCACGGATGAGACATCCTGTTTAATTTCCCTTGAAGGAGAACTTCTCAAAACTAATTCACGCGGAGCGCCCTACCCTTCCCGCTCCCCGAGAAGAGAGAACAGCGCAATGACAATGACAGTATTAATGTGGTTACAGCTGCTCGGAAAATGCCCAGTGGTGGACCCAAAGCAAAGTAGAGTGACCGCTGTCTCCACCGCAGCCCTCCCCGGTGCAGGCCGCTCGCTGTGAACTCAGCACTCGGCCCGTGGCTCCGGGAGACAGACGTGTGGCGCGGGGTCCCACTGGGTGACGGCACAGTAGTTCGGGTTGACAGGCCCCACCGATGGGCTGGGAACCAGGCGGGACAGGAGCACGCCGGGCTCGGACCCTGGGCTCCCGGTCATGTCCTGAGATTCGCTAGCGGACACTCGGCAGCCCTCCGCCGTCCACCCCCACGTCCACTTCCCCAGTGTTCCCAGGATGTGCTGACCAGCAGAGCCCCTCCCTCAGAATGCCAGAGGTAAGTCGTCGCAAAAGGGCCTTTAACTTGTGAGTGTGGGGGGAAGTCCAAGGTGGGGGCGAAGGAGGAACTATGCGCTGGATTCCGGGGAGACCCCGCCCCGCCTTGAGCCCTGACTACGGGCAGAGTGCCGCAGAGCAGCGGAGACGGAAGGCAGGCCCCTGGTCAGGACGCCCGATGCATGCGTCATGGATGCAGAAGCGAGGCGCGTGGACCGGTGGCCTGGCGGGACCCGGGAGAACCCGGCCACGGGCAGGGTTAGAGCGCGGCTCTGCCTCTTTCAGGCTCCCAGGCCGTGCACGAGAAGGCGCCCCTGGTGAAGTCCCTGCTGCTGGCCGGGCCGGCGGGGGTCGGGAAGAAGATGCTGGTGCATGCCATCTGCAGCGAGACGGGCGCCAACCTCTTCAACCTGTCCGCAGCCAACATTGCGGGGAAGTACCCGGGCAAGGGCGGCCTGGACCTGATGCTGCAGATGGTCCTCAAGGTACCTGCTGTGCGTCCGGTTCCCCTCACCCTCTGTCCGTGCCCACGTTCCGATCCTGGGTCCCCTCCTGGGCCGACAGGTACCTGCTGTGCATCTGGGTCCCCTCACCCTCTGTCCGTGCCCACGTTCCAATCCTGGGTTCCCTCCTGGGCCGACAGGTACCTGCTGTGCATCTGGGTCCCCTCACCCTCTGTCCGTGCCCACGTTCCAATCCTGGGTTCCCTCCTGGGCCGACAGGTACCTGCTGTGCATCTGGGTCCCCTCACCCTCTGTCCGTGCCCACGTTCCAATCCTGGGTTCCCTCCTGGGCCGACAGGTACCTGCTGTGCATCTGGGTCCCCTCACCCTCTGTCCGTGCCCACGTTCCGATCCTGGGTCCCCTCCTGGGCCGACAGGTACCTGCTGTGCGTCCAGTTCCCCTCACCCTCTGTCCGTGCCCACGTTCCGATCCTGGGTCCCCTCCTGGGCCGACAGGTACCTGCTGTGCATCTGGGTCCCCTCACCCTCTGTCCGTGCCCACGTTCCAATCCTGGGTTCCCTCCTGGGCCGACAGGTACCTGCTGTGCATCTGGGTCCCCTCACCCTCTGTCCGTTCCCACGTTCCGATCCTGGGTCCCCTCCTGGGGCCGACAGCTCTGGCCTGGCAGGGCACTTCCTCAGGCTGGCACGAGCGTCCCCCCACCCTCCCACTAAGCCCTGCAGTGTCTCAGCTGCTGTGGCTGCTAAGTGTCCAGCCATTAGCAACAGCTCCTCCCTGGGCGTAAACACTCCGCTGTGCCCAGGCCGGCTCCGGTGCCACAGGACCCTCTCCGCAATGCCCGCACCCCTGCTGGGAATTAAGTCCACGGTTTCCTTTTCAGCCCGCCTCCCTCCAGTAATGGCATCAGATTTGGGGTCCTTTCTCACACGCATGAGTTGCCCAGGTCTGGTGCCTTCTGCACACCAGCCCCTCACACGAGCAACAGGGGAGCCCGCGGGCAGCCAGCCGGGCACAGAAGTGTGTGCTCAGCTCCGGCACAGGCAGCGGGCAGGTGGTCTGGAAGGGGGGGCACCGCCCAGCTCTGCGTCCTGTCGCTTTCACCTCCCTGGGTCTCCGTCTTATCGTCCCCAAAACGAACGCGCCAAACCGAACGATAGGAGATGTTCTGTCGGCCCTGAAAGGGATGGTTTTCCAATATAGTTTGTTTGTAGATGATGATGGTGACAGACAAATGGTAGACAGATGATAGGTACATGACAGGTAGATGACAGGTAGACAATAAATGATAGCTACATGATAGATAGATATTGTTAGATAGATGATAAATGATTGATAAATAGATGATAAACAGATGACAGATGATTGATTAGATAGATGATAGAGGACAGATAAATGATTAGATAAATAGACAGTACACATATATACACACAAGGATTACCAAGTTCTACAGCATTTTGGTACAGAATATTTCTATGTAACAGTAAAACTTCAGAGCATTTCATTTGGCTTTTGTTGAGTGCCTCAGGGTTGACTTGATGCTGCTCGTCATTCTGAGTGGCAGCTGCCCGACCAGGCGCGTTCGCCCCTTCAGAGTTGGCGGGGCAAGAGCGCCCGGCACTCAGGGCTCGATGCTAGCTGTGCAGGGCGACGGTTGTCACAGACAGGGGCTCACAGGGACGGTTCCTTCCCCGTCACCCCAAGGGCCGCCAGGGGGAAGCAAGGGCCCCAGGACCCACCTGCAGCAGGGTAGGACGCTCTCCCCTCTCCTCCTCCTGCGTAGGCCCGGAGGACTCCCTGGGGGAGGAGCGCAGGGAACAAGAGCGATCGCTGAGTGATTAACAGAGCGCCTCCCACAGGTAGCTGTTCCGCACCTTTGTATTGTTGTGTGGGGGTTCGTCCTTATCCCCACTTTACAGAGAGAGAAACGGTGGTTCTGAGAAGCCCCCTAGGTCAAGTGGTCGAGCTGGGATTTCGACCTTGGTCTTTCTCTTCTTCGCCTTCCTGTTTGAGCAAAGTCAGCCTCATGTACGGCCAGTGCGCCCGTCTCAGGTACGCGTTCCGAGAGTGAGCTCCGAAACGGGCACGGCTGTGCGGCCATCGTATGCTCTCGGGCCCCTCGTGCGACTGTGTTTTTAAAATGTGTTCACATCATTTTAAACTGGACTGTTGGTCTTATGACTTACCAGGATTCCTTATGTCGTCTGGACTCAAGTTCTTTGTGTTGCAGATGTCTGCTCTGGGACTTGCTTTTCACTTTGTTGGTGCTGTTTACCTGACCTGTGAACCTCGGAGAGGGTGTCCAGACCCCACTCGGAGTGCGGGGTTCTCTCCGCGGACGGTGAAGCCCTGCCCTGGGGTGCACCACGGCGAGGGCTGTTCCATCTTCCTGGTGGTGATTCTGTCACTAGGAGAAGCCCCTTGTCCCTAGTGACGCTCCTGTCTGAAAGCACACTGGGCAGACCGGAGCGGCGCGACCCTCTGGTTCTCAGTGTCTTCGTCCTGGAAGCGCATTTCCTGTGGACACATGGTCGAGTCCCGCGTCCTCGGTCCATCTGACGGGCCGCGCCCTTTAACTAGAGCGCCTGCTCCACTAGCACCCGATGCCGTTACTCATTCGGCTGGGGCGGGTCCGCCAGTGTGCTTCAGTCTCCATTGATCCCGCCTCCCTTTTCCCTTCTGTTTCTCTTTCCTGCCTTCTCCTGGCTAGCAGTGCTTTCTAGTATTTTATTAATTTCTTTATTGTCTCTTTAGCAATGCCACTTCCTTTTTTTATTTTCTTTTTCGATGACAGTTTGCATTCAGCAGAAATTTGCATCCGTTTCAAGTGTGCAGCACAGCTGTTAAACCAGCACATGTCTCAGCAACGCCTATTTCTTACGTGTCAGTGGTTGCTCTACAGATTATAATCGCCGCTTTTCCTATATCACGGCCTACGTAGGGTTAGCATTGTGCTATTCTACATAAAATGTGAAAGCCTTACAGTAGTATCGCCCTTTATGCTTTTATCATATGTTTTATATTTAGAAATGTTATAAACACCACAAGAGAGTGTTATAATTTTTGCATTAGTCATTTGTCTTTTAAAGAATTTAAGAGGGGAACATCCACGTTTCACCCCAAGTCACGTATTTCCCCATTTCCAGCGCCCTCTATTCCTTTCTGGGGATCCAGCTTCTCACTTCAGGTCGCGTCCCTTTCTGCTGTGGAACTTCCTGCCGTGTTCATTCTAGTGCAGACCTGCTGGCAACCCATTTCTTAGCTTTCATTTCATTTATTTCAGAACGTCTCCTCCATCGCCTCTATTTTTGAAGGATAGTTTTGCTGGATATAGAATTCTGGGCTGACATGTTTCTTTCAGACCTTTAAGGATGTTATTGCATGGTCTGAGCCCCAGAGCATTTGAGTTGTTTTCCCGGGATACAATGTTGCTGTGTGAGCCCAGTCTGCAGCCACAGCCTCCAGGGTCAACAAGGGCATTGTCCGGCCTCTGACGGAAGTCGGCTGAGTCAAGCCTGCCTTCCCCCACCCACCCATTGGCTCAGCGCTCCTGCTGTGATTCCAGAACAGAGCCCCCAGCAGGGTCACGATGTCCTCACGCTCAGGGAATTGTTTCTGCTGCTGAGAGGTGTTTTTCCCTTGACCGATTAGCTATGCTGGCATTTCTAAGAATCACTGTAAACTGACACTCCGTGGACCACAAAATGCTACGTGTCAGATTTTCAAAGTGTGGAACTGCACACTCACCCCCGGGGCCTCTCCACGTCAGAGTGCCTGACACACACCTCATTAAGCTTCACCTCTACTGTGTGCATAACTGATTAATGAAAGGCCCAGAGGCCCAGGTGAGGGAGTCAGTCAATTAAAAACCGTGTGCAGTGAGGACACCGTGTCCTGGAGTGAGCGGCAGGCCAGCGATCTTCATTGCAAAGAGGTATTTTCTTTTAATGAAGCAGAAGAAAGCGGGTACATCTCTGGCAGGAGGAGCCGAGCGTTCCTGAGTTACGTGAGCCGTGGCTCCGGGCGGCGGTGATCTGTGGCATCTGCCGGAGAAGGTGACTAGCAGGAGGCCTGCTCATGCATCCTGTCTTCCCGTAAAGGGCTCCTGGTCCAGGATTACTCTGGAGAGAAAAGCTTGCGACAGTCAGGAAACTGGTCACAAGTTCACTCCTGGCCGGTGGCCTTGCTTTAGCCCCAACACCCCGCACCCCTGGAAACACCCTAGGAGACGAGCCTCTGGTCTGTTTCACAACCACAAATTCAAATCTATTTTGTTTTCCGTATTTCTGGAGGGTTCCTTTCTTTCACACACAATAACTTTCATGGAATAATAACTTGGGTCCCTGTAAGAATGTGGTTACTGTTGTTTATAATTCTCTCTCCCACCAAAGCTGTGTGTGGAAAAGAATGTTCATCTCCTGGGTGAGGAAGTGTTAGGAACACAGCCGTCTAACCAGCTACGAGCGTGGTGAGTGCTGACCTGCGCAGAGAGGTCCCGGGCCAGGCCGTCACTGCGCCGCGGCAGCCTCCGGGCTTCTCACCACCGTGACTGACCTTGACCTCTGCCCAGGGTCCAGCACACCCTGGGAGTTTCACACACTTTCCTTTCCATGGGCTCCAATCCCTGCCGAGCTGGGATGAACGTCCCCACTTACACACAAGAAAACGGGCTCACAGTGCTTCACTGGGACCAAAACACACGAAGGAACTCGGGGCCTGGCATCTGGGTTGAGGCCCGGGTCTGTCTCCACAGCCACCGTGTGGCCCCAGCTGGCGTCCAGGGGGTGAGGACTCTGCCTGGGGAGCTGTGTCCTCATGGCGACCCGAGCGGCCGAGGTGTCACGGGGGCATTTCAGCGAGCGAGGGTTGGCAGGCTCCGGCCAGCCTCCCGCCCCCAGCAGTCCTTCCCGCCCTCCAGCCGCCCACCCCGAGGCCAGGGGGACCAGCGGGGCCGGGGAAAGGGGCCAGAGCGGGGCACCCCTGTGTTTGGGATCTGGGAAGTGGTGTGCACTCTGCCTGGGGT